ATTACCTGTGGTGTCTAGAAAACTCCAAGCTTATGAATTAAATTAAAGTGGTCTCTGACAGGAGTAAACATTGAACTTCTGTAGAGGAAGCCACCCTCAATTTTTATTCCTTAGGATTCCCTCAGATTAAAATCAGTAAAATATGAGCTGATAGTCCCAGATTACATCCATCATGAGTGAGAGGCAAGAGAGAAAAAAACTAAAAACAGAATGTACCCTTAAGGACTTAGGGATCTGTTATAGAATATATAATAACTTTATTTAAAGTGTTTTTAAAAAATAAATTTGCATTTTCTGGTAATATAACCTCTGACAAGTTTGTAAAGTTACCACCCTGCACAGTTCTGATAAAAACATTGCAAATCTTTGAATTGTGTTGAATTGTGCATCAAAATCATCAGCCAACTGTGGGGAATGTAGCAGACCCAGTAAACATTGATAGAGAAACAGGCTCGGCACCCATAGCTCAGCGGTTAGGGAGCCAGCCACATACATCGGGGCTGCCGGAGCCAGCCACATACATCGGGGCTGCCGGGATTGAACCTGGTCCAAGCCTGCCAAGCAACAATGACATCTGCAACAACACCAACAACAAAATAATAGCTGGGAGTTGTGGCAGGCACCTGTAGTCCCACCTACTTGGAAGGCTGAGGCATGATAATTGCTTGAGCCCAAGAGTTTTGAGGTTGCTGTGAGCTCTGACACTATGGCACTCTACCAGGGTGACATAGTGAGACTCTGTCTCAGAAAAACAAAAAAACAAGACATTGATAGAGAAATAGGAAAATCTTACTGAAAATCTAGGCATGAGAAAAATGTGTGCAAAAATGGGCTGTTTCAATGAAGAGAACAGTGCACTAGCTCACACGGCACTGTCTGTGTATTGGAACACTCTCCCCACTCACCTGAAGATGAAGGAAAATACTGAAAGGAAGACATTCGGATGACATTCAGGACACCAAGGATAATAAAACAGTTCTGATGGCCATTCCAGAAAAGGGGTTCCAAAATTGTTTTGAAGGGTAGACTAGGTGCCGGCATGTGCATAGCTTCCCCAGGGGAATACAATGAAGGTGACTGCAGCGATACTCAGCTATGAGGTTGACAGCAATTCTTCTAGGACAAGTTCATGGACTTGTCAGACCAGTGTATATGCTTTGTGTTATAATTTTCTAAGTATGCAAAATAATGCCGTATGTTTCTTGGTCATGAAAGTATATATATTTACAAAGTAAGAAACACAGGAAAATGCTAAACACTGGGTTGATTGTGTTATCAAATGGTGGGGGGAGGTGGTGGATACAAGGGGGTTAGTAAAGAAATTTTTTTGCTTTTTAACCCGAGCGGACATAAATGTTCATTTAAAAATATTTTTGTGACCTAAATATATAATACATTTAAAATAAATTTATAAAATCGGTATCCACAAATCAGTAGCCTTTGTATATGCCAATAACAACCAAGATGAGAAGCTGGTCAAGGATACAGTTCCCTTCACAGTAGCTCCAAAAAAATGAAATACCTAGGAATATACTGAACAAAAGAAGTGAGGACCTCTACAAAGAAAATTACAAAACCCCAAGAAAAGAAATAGCAGAAGATATTAACAAATGGAAGAACATCCATATCATGCTCATAGCTGGGAAGAATCCAAAATGTCTATACTTCCCAAAGCATTGTACAGATTTAATGCAGTCCCCATTGAAGTACTGTCATCATACTTTTAAGATTTAGTAAAAATCTTCATTTGGTGTGGGAACAGGAAAAAATCCCATATAACCAAGGCAATTCTTAGTAATAAAAACAAAGCGGGAGATATCACCCTACCAGACTTTAGGCTATACTACAAGGCCACACTGATCAAAACAGCATGGTGTTGGCACAAAAATAGAGACATTGACATTTGGAACCGAATAGAAAATCATGAAATGAAGTTAATATCTTACACCCACTTATCTTTGATAAACCAAACAAGAGTATTTACTGGGGAAAAAAATTCCTATTCAATAAATGGTGATGAGGCGGCACTTGTAGCTCAGTGGGTAGAGCTCTAGCCACATACACCCAGGCTGGCGAGTTGGAACCAGGCCCAGGCCTGCTAAAAACAATGACAAGTGCAACAAAAAAATAGCCGCGTATTGTGGCAGGCACCAGCTGCTTGGGAGGCTGAGACAAGAGAATCGCATAAGCTCAAGGGTTTGAGGTTGCTGTGAGCTGTGACACCACAGCGCTCTACCAAGGGTGCTATGGTAAGACTGTCTCAAAAAAAAAATGGTGAGAACTGAATAACAACATATAAAAAGACTGAAACTGGACCTGTACCTCTCACCACTTAGAAAAATTGATTCTTCAAGGTAGATAAAAGATTTAAATCAAAGGCATGAAACAATAAATATCCTCGAAGAAAAGTGTGGGGAAAACACTTGAAAATATCAACCCAGGGAAAAATTTTATGAGGAAGATTTCTGTGGCAATTGCAACAACAAAAATAAACAAATGGGACTTGATTAAACTGAAAAGCTTCTCTTGACAGCTAAGGAGACAACAACCAAAGCAGAAAACTTCAGAATGGGAAAACGTATTTGCATGTTATGAATTGGACAAAGGCTTGATAACTAGGATTTACAGAGAACTCAATCAACAAAAAAAGAGCCAACAATCCCGTAGATCACTGAGCAAGAGACATGAACAGAACCTTCTTTTTTAAAAAATTTATTTTATTAAGTCAAATACACATAGATCATGAATACATTCATGCGTATGTGGGGTATAATGTGCTGACTAGTTTTTTTCATACAAGAACCTTCTTTAAGGAAGACAAACAGCTAACAAACATGAAAAATGCTCCTCATCTCTAATCATCAGATAAATGCAAATCAAAACCACCCTGAAATACCACCTAACCACAGCGAGAATGACCCACATCCCAAAGTCTCAAAGTGGCAGGTGCTGGCATGGATGTGGAGAGAAGGGAACACTTTTATACTGCTGAGACTGCAAACTAATACAACCTTTTGAAAGGAAGGATGAGGAATCCACAAAGAACTCAAAGTAGACCTCCCATTTGATCCTGCAATCCCATTATTAGACATCCACCCAAAAGGAAAAAAATCCTTTCATCATAAGGACATTTGCAGTAGACTGCTTATTGCAGCTCAATTTACAATTGCCAAAATGTGGAAACAGCCTAAATGCCCACCAACCCAGAAATGAATTAACAGGCTGTGGTGTATGTATACCATGGAATACAATTGAGCCACTAAAAAAGATGGAGACTTGGATGGAGGTGGAACATGTTCTTTTTTTTTTTGCAATTTTTGGCTGGGGCCAGGTTTGAACCCACCATTTCTGGTATATGGGGCTGGTGCCCTACTCCTCTGAGCCACAGGAGCTGCCTGGAACACATTTTTCTTAGTAAAGCTTCATAAGACTGGTAAAGCAAGAATCCATGTACTCAATTCTAATATAAAGGGAGTAGATGAGCTCATACAAGGGGTAGAGTAAGGAAATGAGGGAGCGAGGAGAAGGGAGAAGGATGGGGGGGGGGTCATGGTGTACACCTCTTGGGAGCAGAACACAAATATCAGAGGAACTTTTTAACAAATGCAATCAGTGTAACCTAATTCTTTGTACTCTCACTGAGTCTCAAACAAAAAAAAATCAAATTTTAAAACAATAAATAATTAAAATCAGTCTTTTCATGTTCACTTTGCCTGTGTGACTATCTTGATTTAGCACAATGACTCCATAAGACTGACTCACAGGCTAGCCAGCCAGCCAGGGACCGGTATCTATAGTGCAGTATTAGACTTCTTGCTCTGTTTCCTCATCTGTTAAATAGGAATATGGTAATTACCTCATATGTTGTTGTAAGGATTCTGATCTGACAAATGTTATTGTTATTTGTCAGTTGTCATAACAATTGTTATTAGAGTAAATGGCATAGCTTTTCTTTGTAACATAGCTTGTAAAATGTGTGTATAATTCTTAAACTATCATTAAAAGGCATTGATTATTTCTAGTTTTAAAATTTTTTAAAATGCTGTGCTTTCTTTTATTGTTCTTTACCTTCCTTTCTTGGGTATTTTTAAGCCTTAGGATTTGT